GAGAGGGTTAAACCAGGCTGCTCCTTGGAGGCAAGGATTCTGAGGCTTCGTCTGACATACTTTGGACATGTTGTAAGGAGGGACGGGTCCTTGGAGAAGGACATCATGATTGGGAGTGTGGAGGAATGGCGCAGGAGGGGAAGACCCTCTATGAGGTGGACTGATTCAGTGACTGGGGTAATCAGGACGGGTGTGCCAGAGGCACTGAGATTGGCACAGGATAGAGCAGCGTTTAGGGCTGTTGTACATAGGGTCGCTATGAGTCACAAGCGACTCAATGGCACATAACAACAACAACAGTCTCCTAAGCATTCACAGGGTAAAAACTATGTATGTCTATTTAAAAAGCAACCTTTTCAAAGTACTAGTTCCAAGGATATTATAATTCATCAGAATGAGATTTGAATCCAGAATACTGAGTTCACACCCAGGCTTCACAGAGTTGTGGCATTATTACTTCACAGTACTTTATCATCATATATAAGATACTACTACTTCATAAAGTTAAGTGATCAGCACAGAGCACACACACTGACAAATGACATGATCTAATTGGAATGTCATCTTTTGCTATCTTGAAAATGTGAAGAAAGACTAAGAGGTGGATTTTAAATGTTTTTGTGAGAACAAACTTCTTTACCTTTCCTCAAAGTTTGAACACAATGAATGGGAAAGTGTGTGGCCTGTTTCTGTACAGGAGAGAGCTTCACTACAGCTATTATGGAAAGCAGGAAGGGAGGAGCAAAGCTCTGGTACTTGACTTTGGACTATAGACAGCAGGCTTGCTTTCTTTTTATCAAATGTGAAGTGCTGGCACTTAATAAGTGGTTGCTAAGCAAATAATAATATGAATTAAGATTCAGTTGGGTGTTTTTTAACTAATTTGTAATCCTGTGGAATTCTTTCCCTAAGGTCAAGTTAGTAGGATAACTGAAGTCTACATAAAAATGATGGTAGAGTTATGGTCATTCTGCTATTAATTGTATGTAGTATTTTCCTTCTGACAGTTTAATAGAGGTATCTGTTGTTAATGTTGTAAGTTATAAAAATGATTGGCATTTATTTATGAGGATGCATTTTCACTTTTCCATTTTATACTTACATATGTACCTTTACATTATAAATGTCTTGAGAATAGAAATCTGGTTAGAGTAGGATTTATATCATATAGAAGATGTAGATTCAAGATTGTTAAGCTTGTTTATTAGGATTTTGCAAGATGTTGGTGATTTTATTGAGCTCAGTCCAAAATTTTCAGAAAGTGTTAAAAAGCGGATTATTTTGAATACTTTAAAAGTCAGCTTTCAACCTAAACATAAAACACACATAATTTCTACACATATTTCTACATGCATCACTACATACAGGGCTACACCCAGAAATTTTCAGAAGACAGTCAGATAGTGTTGAAAGCTTAAAAGGAAAAAGCCCAAAGAGTCAATCAATCTCCACAAGACAAGTCTCTATTTACAAAAAAGTAGCAAAACAAGCTACTGAAACTGTGAGCACTTGAAAATTTTTGTGGCTGTGCCAAAGTTGACAAAAAATGTAAGACGAGGTTCTATTAAAGAAAGGAAGAATATATTTTGTTTTCCAAGAACATGCCACCTCCCTGTGATATCTATTAATACTTTTGTTTCCGTTTTAGACAGTAAAAACCTTCAAACAGAAAATGTCAACTTACAGCTTAAGCCAGGAATCATAATTTAAGAAAAAGACAAGACTTAACAGTAAAAAAAGAAAAGATAAATGATGTTCAATTCCTTGGAATCTTGGGTGGTGGTGTTAGCTGCTGTCTAATCCTTTATAACTCATAATAACGCTATGAGTAACAGATCTGAACCCTATCATTTCCTTGGGTAGAATCTTGGGTTATTGTTAGGTACCGATGAGTCGAGTACAAGTCATAGTGACCCTGTGAACAAGAGATCTGAGCCCTGTCCTTTCCTGTGCCATCTTCTCCATCTCTGCTAGTCCACTGTTGCAGCCAGCATGTCCATCCATCTCAATGGGTGGAGGCTCTAATCTTGGACAGGGGAGGGAAAAACATCTTGGAATTTACATTATTTGAAACTTTATCTATCTCATCTTAGTATAGTATATACCTTTTCTAATAACCATGCAGACAAACAAAAACAAACTTAGACCATTTTTTAATATGTAAAATATAAATTCTTCACTTTCTACTAAGAGGAGGCAACTAGGGATATCCTTTAAAAGTGTTCCTCATAGGTTACCAGGAGTTAAATATTGAAAATTGTGTGTGTTAATTCAAAGAGTAAATATCACTGCTTGAGGCATATGTTTCAAGAACACACTCTACCTGATGTGTTAAAGGTATATAGTCAAAATCTTGGGAGAAAAGCACAAAGAGAGCAGACATTTATAAACCAGATAAAACATGGACTACATCAGGCAATTACATCTAAAAATAAAAAAGGAATGTAAGAAAGAGAAAGGTGAAAAAAGAAGGAAGACAATCCACTTCAAATATCCACGGCAAACTGAGTGGACCATACCTTGAATAACTCAAATTCCTTCTTTGGCATCAACAGCTAATCATAAATGATGAACATAAAATAAATATATATATATGAATGAGATCCCAGCCAAAACAGAAGTAAAACAAAACAAATTTTCATTACCATCACAGTTTTAAGATATATTAATTATACACTAGTTCGTTATTTCAAATGTGTGCTTGAATCTTGGCTTCTGATAAGACCAACAGAATCATGCAGGACCTTTATTAGTCTAGGATGTCATAAGGAGATAGAAATCTTTAAAGGAATGATCACTGCAGATACAGCGTGGCCACATTTCTAAGTTTCAAGAATTTGTCTACTTTTTTAAGTCTAGAATTGGCATGAAAATGAATTATTCCACTTGATATTTGATAATAGCTTCTACTCAGATTCATGACATCATTATGGGGTCAAGTGTGAGCTTTCACTAAAGAAGCCAGCTATTAATTACTGTTGATAGCCTGGGAAAAAATCCACCCCAAGCTCAGAGGCCATCCGTGGGAGACATCCATTCTTTCTTAGGGGATGTGACTCTAGCAATCTCATCACAGGTTCAGAAGTCCTAACAGTTTAATAGAAAGTGAATTTTGATGTTATAGGGAATGAGATGACCAGAGTTAATCAAATCTTGAAAATTTGGATGATATTCAAGATGTATTTAATGATCAAGAAGAGAAATCTTGACCAATGTAATTTAAGGACATTACAACCTTAAGATCAAGAAAAGAAAATTCTTATCATCCAACTGGATAGGTACCTATGTGTTAATGTAAAGTGAGATGCATGTGCTCTCAATCTTGGCTGATGACAAAGGCCTAGTGAAGGTAGAGCAATAGATCCTCCAATCACCACCTCAATGTCTATGCACTAAGTTCCTATATGACAAGAAAGGCCTTAGTGAGAAGGAGGAATATGGATAGAAATTAAGAGGTAGAATTGCCATTTCACCTAACATCAGAAATATTATGGATTGGAAAATATAGCATTTAAAGAAGCACTCACTAACTGCTAAATATTTTGAGCAATTACAAGAAAAAGTAAATCAGAAAGAAGACATGTAACTCTTCCCTGTACCTCTCACCATGTATTCCAATTACATTAAGTTTTACATCTAATTAATTATATCCTAAAATGAGTAATAGCCAAAAGTTATTTAAATTCTGTTTAAGAATGATATATTTAAAAATTGTTAAAAATTCTATTTTGCTCAGAAGTTAAGATTACCTGGATGGTATGAGTGTAAGGTGGATCAGCACGTCCTAATCCGGATTCTGGAGGTCTCACGATATCCAGAATGTTATTTGGCACAAATCCACAATCTCCACTTGCATTTCGAACTTTCCACCATTGCTTCCTATCATCAAGGATCTGTTAACACAGAGGAAAAATGGAAATGTCATTTCAATACCAGAATCAACTGTGAAGGAAGTTTCTTTCTTAGTTTTTATACCTACAAATTTTTTTTCCCCCTCGTCTAATTTACTGGTAGTAAACTGACTCAGAACCACAAGTTGTTAGATGAATGATTCTCTAGAATGACGATAACTAGCACAGAGGATGTACCATATCATTATGATGTGCCTACCCAAGATCCACATTGCCACCTAAGGAATTACAGCCATTTGAAATATCTCAAGTACTTAGAAATTATTAATATGGCTCTTTTTAAAGCTCTCCCCCCTCCTTTTTTTGGAATAGGACGGAAAAGTACCAAAATAATTTTTGTGTAGAAATTCTGTTGAACCTCCTACTTTATTCTTACTAAAGAAGCTGATCTCATAGTTATAATTTCAGAGAGGTTTGGATATCATGGTACCCTATTCCTAAAGCTCACTGGCTATTCATTTAAGCAAAGATACAGAATAAACTAACATGAAAATACAGTGAGGAAGAAGACACCATAAAAAATACAGGGACTTTCAATGAACATAAATGGGGTAAAAACATTCAACCAAAACCCCTTAAAGATAAACATAAGAATCTATAATATATCCTTGATAATACAAAAATTTAGGAATAATAATTTCGAGGGCTCTGAATTTAAGGCAGGCTTAAATATAGACCAAAAAGGGACACAATCAATATGAGTATATACATATATTTTTAAAGGTTCAATTCCATTACCTCTAAAATATCATCCTTTTGAACAGAGAGCTCACTGTTGTTCCTTGCTGTAAATTCATACTTGGATTTGGCATATTTCTTGGGTTGTGTTTTGAGTAGATCATAATTTCTATGAAAAGAAAAGTGGGAAAAAAATAAAACCACTCTGCTAGCTGTACCTAAAGGCTAAAAACAGAAGTAAAATATTAAGGTACATCAAACCTTACCAGGAAACATCTGACAAATTATTTAGATAGCAGCTTTCACCATGTTGCATAGAACATGAGAATTAAAAGGAACGTTCAAGCTTTCAGTACTGACATGAACAAACCATAGTTAGGGCAAAATGAAATGATGCAAGTGCACCAGCCTGGCTGGCAATGAGCCAAGTCTGGAATCCAGCTCTTTGAATCTTTTGTCCACTAAGTGTGCATAATAAATACTGCTTTGTTAATTGTCACATCTACTGGGGACAAATTTGGATAAAAGAAATGACAGTCAGCTTTTTTTTTTCAAATAACTATAGAAGATTTTACTTTTAAAAGAGACTATAGACAATTTCTAGATTCCCAGAGGATTAGCTTACATTATAGGAGCCCTGGTGCTACAGTTCTAGATTGTTGCACTGCTAAGTAGACGGTCAGGGGTTTGAATCTACTAGTGGATCCTCAAGAGAGAGAAGCGTAGTCTCTCCTAAAGATTTCAGCCTCAGAAACCCAATGGAGGGTCATTATGTGCAGGAATCAACTGGACTGCTTACAGGACACATGGATCTCACCACGTCTAGAGATGTTTCTAATTCTCTAACACAATCTATTAAAAATGTTATGACTGGGTATTAACTTCTACAAAGCTGTCTCTACTTCTCTAGACTGTAAGGAATGTATAAATTAAGTACAAGCATTTTCCATACTGTATGGTGTCTTATTCTCTGAGAAATGCAATAACAACTTTGAAAGATATTATTTCTCATTAAAAATAGTTTTAGATGAGTATGGACATTTTACTTTAAAAAAACAATTCTTAAAAATAAAAGTGAAACTCTGGTAGCCTAGTGGAAAAGGAGTTGCAACCTAAAAGCAGCCAGTTCACATGTGCCAGCTGCTACAAGGGAGAAAGTTGTCTAAATTCTAACCTAACAGTGTACAACCTCTTATAAACTTGCTGGACAGTCAGCTGTGAGTCTGTTTCTATCTGACAGCAGTTAGTTGCTTTTGAAGCTTTTATTTTTAAAAGAAACCCAAGTTCCTCATTTAATCTTAAATTAAAGAAAGAAACAAATCTGCTCCCAACGAGTAGATTCTGACTCACAGTGACCCCGTGGGTGTCGGCATAGCCTGTGTTCCATAGTGTTTTCAATGGTTGGTTATCTTTTTAGTTGGTTTACTTACAATCATCCATGTACACTGTGTGTTGTACAATCATTCATATACATTGTATTTTATATAGTTAATTACTATTGATCTATGCCAATTATCACCCCTTCTCTTTAAGTCCTTATGGACTCTTTTCTATCCTTTCACTTGCCTACTAACTTCTGCTACCCTCTTCCCCTTCTTCTGTTCCCCCCCCCCGCTCCTCTTCCCCTTTTGAACATGCATCCATATTCAATGGCTGACTTTTAGAATTAGATCAATCAGGACTTTCTTCGGAGGTATTTCTTTGAGCCTTCCAATTTTTCAATTATAAGCCAAGCTCATGAACAGTGTGCACCACCAAGGAACTGCACTACTCTAATATCTCTCATAGAATATAAAGGCTTTAACATGCTTTGTGGTAAGCTGTCCAAGATAATGGCAGAATGTTCCACCTGTAATATCATATGTCATAGGTTTGTGAGTGAAGTTCAGAGAGTAGTGACTCTGAATTGTCTATCATGCACTTAGTAATTTAATCCTCCAGCAAAACAAATCTACAAACACTAAAAATGTCTTCACTGTGCTGGCTTGTGACTAAAATGGAACATAAAAAATGCATCCTAGTATCATGAGGGGATAATTCTAAACACACATGAAAAATGTGAAATGTTTAAAAGGGATATATGATTAGATATTATTGTTATGACAGGAGTCCAGAACGAATATACCATAGTAGAGTGGACTTGGGGGAGGGATTGAAAAACAATGAAATAATTTTTTCTTTTACTTTTCAAAAAGAAAAGTGAATTGAAGGGGGGGGATAGGCAGGGAGAAAAGTGTAACAATGAATGAATGGAAATCCTAAGTCTCTGTAAACTTTCGTAAAATAAAATTTTAAAAAAGACAAATGTGATCAAGTAGGTTTCAAGCTATTTACTGGTGAAGAACCAGTCAGTTGTTAAAAAAAATAGTAAGAACTTCTAATTTGAAATAATTTACAGAATTTTCACATCTAATGGGAAAAGAAAGGACATGAAACATTAGGAGAAATAGTGAGTCATGAAGAATTTCAGCGAAATAATTTTTATATATCTTCCAAAGATGCATTGATAATAATGGGTGACTGGAATGCAAAAGTTGGGAATAGTGAAGAAGAATCGATTGTCGGAAGGCATGGGCTTGGTGACAGGAATGAGGCTGGAGATAGAATGATTGAATTTTGTAAAATCAATGACTTATTCATTGCAAATACATTTTATAAGAGACACAA